CCATCAAATGAAAACAAACATAAATTCAAAAATTACTCCCAATGATTTAGAAAAATTGTATAATTAAATCAAAAAGCTCAAAATAACTATTTTATTAAGACCTCACTTAATAAATCCAAGGCTTCCTGACAGGTTATCAGCAATAAAACATATACTAATGAACCCATTTCTCACATAAAAATAAATAATACCCCCAAAGAAACTGCAGTTTAATCAAAACAAAACTCATTAAAATAATCATTATGCAATATTACATAACAAACTTCACAATTAATATCAATATGAATCCATTTCAAACTACCTTGCATTAATTCTAAAATCGAGTCATAATATAAAAGCGCCTACACTTGACACGCCCGGCAGTTGAATACGTACAGTCGTGCTGAGAAGGTTGTAATAGTTAAGTCTGTTGTGAAATTAAGTGGTTCGAAAGATTGTGAGCAAACTGAAATTAAAATAAAGTCTTCTTTGTAAAAGTAAAGTATAGTGTGTTAAAAACGCTCATATACAGTTTGATAGTGTAATTGAGCAATAAATATCGTGATTAAACAGTTAACTAAGTAAGGTGTAGTTTTATTGGAGAAAAGCTGACAAATTCAGAAGTGGAATAAACACAACCCACACGTAATCGCAAGACATCCTGTCTCAAAGTCGATTTGGAGTATACGCGAAGAAGACTGCTAAAGTGAGTTCACTACGAACCAAGGTCAGTGATTTTTATTCCTCTCTAGCGATTCGTGATAAATTTTTATGTGGATACATCCTGTGTCTGTGTTAATCTCCTAAGTGGCAACCTGTGTAAATCTTCGGGCCGCCACCCACAGTGTACACAATTTGACTCAATTTAGTACAGTGAATACCATTTGACTACCTAAGTGAAAAACTATTAGGCTTGATTGGAACAATTCAGTTCAAATAAGATAAATTTAATCTTTTTTTCCTTGGCTTGCTTAAATTTGTTTATTACCGTAAGACTTATAGAGTGAAATTGCAATATCTCTGTATGATAGCTTTTAATTTTATTATTTAAACGTGTAATTATAAATATTTCTCTGCCTTTAATTTGTTACCATTAGTTAAGGCACAAGAGTAAAAATACCCTTATATGTTAACAATTAATTTTTGGCCGTTTTGTCGATAATATAACTGATATTAATAATAACGGATATTATGAGGTCGCCACGCAGGTCACGTTCTCAGGTCAGACTTAAGCGACGTAATCATGCTCATAAACGTTATGGAAGCTCATCAACATCAATCGGAACTTATTATCGCTCTAGTACTCCTGATCGTCATAGTAAACAAAGACGTCATGGTAGGAAAAAACGCAAACGGTCCCCATCAACCCATTGTCGACACCACGATCATCGTAAATCTCGACTTACTAATGAAAATCGATCTAGAGGTAGAAATCGTAATAGGAGAGTTTCGATAAGAACTCCGCCGTTGCCCAGGGTTCGAACAGTGTCACCACAGATCCGAATTAACTTAAATGATATGCCTCATAATGTCACAAGTGTGAACCCTCAGCCCCTACCTTATGTTATGAGTCCACCAGTTACTTCAAGTTTAACGAGCAGCTCAAATGCTGTTCCTGTTGCTCCTACTGGAGGAGAGATGTGGTCTAATAATATAACGGAAAATTTTAATGTTATACCAGAATTTGATCCTTCTGTTGATAGCCAAAGCATTGAATGGTGGATTCATAAAGTGAACGAGTGTGCTAAAATATACTCATGGGATTATAGGCAAATATGTCATTTTGCGTTACCCAAGTTAACGGGCCTTGCTAAGAGGTGGTATCAGGGGCTGCCTTCCTTACTATTTACATGGGATGAATGGGTCAGTAAGCTGAGAGCTACGTTTCTTTCCAACGAGAATTATGGAGATTTACTTACGAAAATGTTAAAGATACGTTGCAGATTTGATCAGTCCCTTAATGAATATTATTATGACAAAATTGCCTTATTAAATAAATGTGAAATTACCGGTAGAAAGGCTTTTGGATGCATAATACACGGTATTGATGATAAATTTATACGCATGGGTGCAAGTGCATGCATATTCAAGAACCCGAAAAACTATTTTCTTACTTGACGACAATTGCTCATAGCACGACCCACTTGCAAAAGGTAAAATTATCAGAAACACCACAGTCATGGATTAGTAAAGTTACAAACGCAACTGACCCAATGAGTGGCTCTGAAGGCATACACTGTTTTAATTGTGGTGATGCTGGTCATATCAGCGTCAAATGTCCAAAGCCTCTTAAAAAATGTGGTTTTTGCCATCGGTTGGGCCACATAACAAGGGATTGTCGCGAGCGAACTTCTAGCTCCAGTACCTCAACTGAGGTAGGTGAGCAAATCGAACAATTGGATCAAACAGGAACGAACAATAAGGTACTTTGTATTGATCAACCAAATGCTTGTGCAAATAAAAAGTTTTATAAGAGTATAAAGGTTATAGGTCAGAAGGTCCTCCTACATAGATTTAGGGTATAGTTGTTCTTTGATCCGGGAATCTGATGCTAAGGATATACTGACTGAATGGGAGGTCCCGTCTAATTTGCCTAATTTACATGGCTTCGGCAATTCCATTGTTAAAGCTCTAGGACTTAATAAGGCTGTGGTTGCGGAAGTCGATCTGATACGAGTAGTAGTCTCTGATCATTACATGCACGTACCGGTTATCATAGGCCACACTTATACTGAAAAACCAAACATAATAATGTACAAATCTAGCAGTGAGTTAATATTCACTAGTATTCCTGGTCAGGAATGTTGCAATGAAATGATCAAATAAAGTATATATTCCAATACAAATTCATTAAAAAATAGTTGTACTACGTCTTCAATTTCTGTTCATACTGAGCCGAATTATACAGGTGGTTTATTTGTTGTGGGTGGACATCGACTAATTTTAAATAAATGACATCAATAAAAGAAAATACCGTTATTGCCAGAGGGTGAGTCCACAATGAAACAAATGACCAATACATTGGTTTAACAGATGCTGCCAATAGCCGTGAGCCTCTACCAATCGATAAAGTTAAAATCGGGACTTTATTGAGCGTTTCGATGTTAAGTGAGTTCCAGGTCCTTCTTTCTAAATATAGAGCTTGTTTTGCCCTCAAATTATCGGAATTAGGTGAAACTAATCTGACTCAGAGGAACATTAAGCTCAATGATGACACTCCAGTTGTGTATAATCCTTATCGGATGTCGATCAAAGAACGAGAGCATTTAACAATTATTGTAGAAGATCTATTACGACACGGTATAATAAGGGAAAGCAATTCATGTTACGCAAGTCCAGTGATTTAAGTTAATAAGAAAAACGGTGATAAATGCCTTTGCATCGATTATCGTGCGCTCAACCGAAAAACTTTAAAAGATAAATATCCCTTGCCGAGTATTGAAGACCAATGGGATTGTTTGGGAGGTAACAGCTACTTCACAAGCTTGGATTTAGCGTCTGGTTATTATCAGATCCCCATGGCTGTAGATAGCAAAAACTTAACTGCGTTCGTCACTCCTGACGGTCTTTTCGAATATAACCGAATGCCGTTTGGACTGGCCAACGCACCAAGTGTGTTTCAGCGAGCTATTAATACAATGCTTCGGGGATCTGGTGGACGCCTGGCCCTCGCCTACATGGATGATTTGTTGATAGCTTCTAAAACCATAAAAGAGGGCACAGAAAAATTAGAGAAGGTACTTCAACTTCTGCGTAATGCAAAACTTACTTTGAAGCTTGAAAAATGTCAATTTTTCCAAACGCAAATAAATTATTTAGGTAGGTATACGACCAGGTATCCTTAAAATTCAAGCCGTGGCAAATTTTCCAGAACACAAAAATGTACACGAGGTTCGTCAATTTGTAGGACTTTCGAATTACTTCCGGCGCTTTGTTAGGAATTTTTCAGTGATTGCAAGACCGCTGACAAATCTCACGAAAAAGGACATTAGCTGGCGTTTTGGAGAAAAGGAAAGGGATGCGTTTAATAAGTTAAAAGAGAAACTCATTAGTCGTCCCTTACTGGCATTGTATGACTCAACAGCAGCTGTGGAAGTCCACACAGATGCCAGCAAAATGGGAATTGGTGCAATTCTCATGCAGAGGCACAATGATGCGGTACACCCAGTAGCATATTATAGTCGTCAGACTTCACATGAGGAACAGAGATTTCACTCTTATAACTTAGAAACTCTCGCACTAGTCACGGCATTGCAGAAATTTCGTGTTTATCTGTTAGGCACGAATTTCAAAGCAGTAACGGATTGTAGCGCTATTTGGAACACTATGAAAAAACGAGATCTAGTGCCACGGGTTGCGAGATGGTTGATATCTATGCAGGAATACGATTTTACAATCGAATGTAGACCCGGTAATAAAATAGCCCACGTGGACGCATTAAGCCGGAATCCTATTAGAACTGATGTGCACAATAATGAAAACAGAATTAACGTACTCGTCGTAAATAATGATGCTTGGTTGGGAACAGTACAGTCGTCAGATCCAGAACTGCAGCGTATAGTAAAAATATTGCAAGATCCTGAAAGTGAGCATGTAGTTGAAATTAAGAATAACTTTACATTAAAAATGGCAAGGTTTATAGAATCGTCAAAAAGAACGATACCGTAACGTTACTCTGGGTAGCTAAATCTGTATGATGGCAAATACTAAAAATGAATCATGACAATAACGGTCATTTTGGGTTTGAAAAGACATACGAACGTATCAAAAGGATCTACTGGTTAAAAATATGAGAAAGTTTACTAAAAAATATTGCAAGGCTTATCCAGAATGTGCTCATAATAAAATTCCAGCCGGACCAAAGGAAGGCTTCATCCTATTGAAAAGGTAAGTAAACCATTTGACACCATACATGTAGATCATTGCGGGCCATTCCTATTAAGCAAAAAGAGGAATCAATATATACTGGCAATCATTGATTCTTTTACAAAAAAAAGGATGTCCGTGATTGTAGAAGTAAGATGAGTATCCAAATTTTTGAAGAATACTTTGCATTATTCGGGGTGCCGCGGCAGTTAATTATAGATCGCGGTACCAGCTTAACTAGTAATGAATTTAACCAATTTGTAGTGGGGAAAGGTATGAAACACATATTGAATACGGTCGCTACACCTCTAGCAAACGGCCAGATTGAACGATATAATAAAACTCTCGTAGAGTCGCTCGCTTCTGCTAATCATGGACATTCTGAAAATGAATGGGATACCGTATTGTTTAAAGTGCAATGGTCATTAAACAACACAATTAACAAAGGCTTTGGAAAAACTCCTGCTGAGACTTTATTTGGGGTAGTTACTACGGGAAGTTGCGATGACGTTATAAACAATGTAGTCGCTGAATCTCAGCAACTTAAAAACAGAGATGAAATTCGCAACGAGGTTGAACAACGAATTTCTTCTGAACAACTGAAACAAAAGGACAGATATGATAAAACGAGAAAAGAAGCTACGCAATATAAAATATTGCGTATCTTGTTCGTATAGAGAAAGACGTGTATACGGCACCGGGCCAGGCCAGAAAGTTGGTTCCAAAATGTTCCGACCCGTACAGAATAACAAAAATTCTCGGTCATGATCGATATGAGGTTCAAGACACCCCCATTACTAAAAAGGAAGGTAAAGCGACATACGTCGGAGTTTTCCCGGTAGATAAAATACACCCTTGGTTGGTATTCCAAAATGATCCAATCTCCAGTGACTCGGAGTAAAATACCTATTAATCCGTGTATTGCTCTAAATTATTGTCATTTTAACATTTGTAGTTCTAGTTTGTAGTTAAGTCATATTTGTTTTAGTATAATGATATGTAAAGGAAGAGATACATTAAAATGTTAATTCAATATATGTACGTGTGAAAAATACAATACGAGTAGTAATTTATATGATTATTATATATTATTTTCGGTATTATTTAAGTCATCATAACAATTATTATTATGATAACTCCTTTCTATTGTAGATAATCTTTAAGAATAAAATGTAATATATATTGCATGAATATAGTGAGCAATATGGAGTGAGTTAATGTAAGAAAGTGAGCCGTTACTGAATTGTATCGGTGTGGACCGTTCTGTGCAACGGCACCTTTTAGTTAAAAAGTGAGCTGGTGCCGAATGGTATCAGTGTGGATCGTTCTGTGCAACGGTATTCATTAGATATAAGAAAGTGAGCCGTTACTGAATTGTATCGGTGTGGACCGTTCTGTGCAACGGCATCTCTTAGAGTTAAAGAGTGAGCTGGTGCCAAATGGTATCAGTGTGGACCGTTCTGTGCAACGGCATTCATTAGATATAAGAAAGTGAGCCGTTACTGAATTGTATCGGTGTGGACCGTTCTGTGCAATGGCATCTCTTAGAGTTAAAGAGTGAGCTGGTGCCAAACGGTATCAGTGTGGACCGTTCTGTGCAACGGCATTCATTAGATATAAGAAAGTGAGCCGTTACTGAATTGTATCGGTGTGGACCGTTCTGTGCAACGGCATCTCTTAGAGTTAAAGTGTGAGCTGGTGCAAAATGGTATCAGTGTGGACCGTACTGTGCAACGGCATTCATTAGATATAAGAAAGTGAGCCGTTACTGAATTGTATCAGTGTGGACCGTTCTGTGCAACGGCATTCATTACATATAAAAGTGAGCTATTACTGAGTGGTATCGGTGTGGACCGTTCGGTGCAACGGCATTCATTAGATATAAGAAAGTGAGCCGTTACCGAATTGTACCAGTGTGGACTGTTCTGTGCAACGGCACCTCTTATTTAAAAAGTGAGCTGGTGCCGAATGGTATCAGTGTGGATCGTTCTGTGCAACGGCATTCATTAGATATAAAAAAGTGAGCCGTTACTGAATTGTATTGGTGTGGACCGTTCTGTGCAACGGCATCTCTTAGAGTTAAAGTGTTAGCTAGTGCAAAATGGTATCAGTGTGGACCGTACTGTGCAACGGCATTCATTAGATATAAGAAAGTGAGCCGTTACTGAATTGTATCAGTGTGAACCGTTCTGTGCAACGGCATTCATTACATATAAAAGTGAGCTATTACTGAGTGGTATCGGTGTGGACTGTTCGGTGCAACGGCATTCATTACAATTAAAAGAAAAGTGAAAAAGAAAATAGTAATTTGTTGCAATTTATTGTAATTATTGTTAATTTAAAACCTAATATCTTTTGGTATTATTTTTACGCGGGGACGCGTCTAGTATCAGGATTGGTCGAGTATTAGATAAATAATCATTATGCAATATTACATAACAAACTTCATAATTAATATCAATATGAATCCATTTCAAACTACCTTGCATTAATTCTAAAATCGAGTCATAATATAAAGGCGCCTACAGTTGACACGCCCGGCAGTTGAATACGTACAGTCGTGCTGAGAAGGTTGTAATAGTTAAGTCTGTTGTGAAATTAAGTGGTTCGAAAGATTGTGAGCAAACTGAAATTAAAATAAAGTCTTCTTTGTAAAAGTAAAGTATAGTGTGTTAAAAACGCTCATAAACAGTTTGATAGTGTAATTGAGCAATAAATATAGTGATTAAACAGTTAAATAAGTAAGGTGTAGTTTTATTGGAGAAAAGTTGACACAAGATGCTTACTTGAAAACCCTAACACAATGTTTATGAGTCCAGTTGTACCACAAGACGTACTCAAGGCAATAAAATTATTAAAAAAATAGCTTAGGATATGATGAAATAGTAACAAAAGTTATAAAATTTGTATCAATTAATATAATCGTACATATAAGCCACATCATTAACTTAGCCATCAGCACGGGTGTATATCCTGACGGTTTAAAAACAGTCATCGTCAACCACTTCACAAAAATAATTGCAAGGGGGATATGGCCGACTATAGACTGATTCCAGTGTTTTCCAAAATCAAATGAAATATTATCTATGAATCAATTAATAATTTTTTGACAAAATAAAAAAAATACTGCGTAAAGAACAAGCCGGTCTTAGGAAGAATAAAAATATTACAGCAATATATGATTATTTACACGAAATGATGATGAATGCAGATAACAAAATCCAATCTGTGCCATTTTTATACAATCGACTAAAAATTTTAACTGTGTCAGTCATAATATTTTATTGAACAAGCTTAACAGCTACGCTATAACCCCTATATAATACCGTAGCTGTTAACCCTAACGTACTGGATCTCATAAAATTCTACCTCCGTAACCGCACACAAATCTCACAAAATCTCCAGGATTTGCCTGAAATCAAAATTTGAACAAAAATGCAAATCTGAAGGTTAAATAGTTAAATTTGGTGTTCCGCAAGGTAGTATATTGGATATTCTACTATTTTTGGTCTATATAAATGATATGCCTTGTCAGATACAAAATCTATTTGCCGATGATAGCACAGTACTGATAAATACATTAACCTTAAAAATCTTATTGATTGGCTTAAAAAAGAACCTGCTTATAAACAAAAGTCCAGTGTGATGCATTTTCAACAATGTACAATTCCACCGAAAGTAAATATACAGTTACAATAAACAAGTGATCCATTAAACAAAAATCACGAAATTTTTAGGAATTCTTATCGATGATCAATTAACATGGAAACCGCAAGTAGAAAAAGTTTCAAAAAGCTAAGCACTGCAGCATATGCACTTTTTAACCTTTCAAAAAAGACATTAAGACTGCATTAGTAGCACACCATAGTTTGGTCGCATCGGTCTTGAGATTTGGAATAATTTTCTGGGGTATTTCTGGGGTAGCTTAAGAGATAACGTATTTAAAGCCCAAAAACGTTGTGTAAGATGTAGTCTTAAAACGAGAGATAGATGTGAGTCTTTGAAAATTCTTACTTTTCCGCCGTTATAAATTTCAGAAATGGCAATTTTTGTAAAAACAAATAAAAATTTGTTTATGAAGGTAACAGACACCAAACAAGGTCCCTTGAGAATTCAATACAAAAACTTGTTAGTTGACGGTGGTTATAAAACAGCATTTCTAAGAAAGAGCGTTCTTTGCATGGGTCCAATAATATTTAATAAAATAGCGGACAGCATAAAAATGCCATAATATTAATATAAAAATAAACTCAAGGCTTTTTTAATACAGAAATGTTATTATACGATAAGTGATTTTTTGAGTAACCCTATGTGACATTATTTCATATTTACTTTTGTGCTAAATGTAGAATTGTTACAATATGTTATTAGTATAGTGATTATTATTCATATTATTTTAAAATTTTAAACACCTACATCTACATATATTATACATATTATCTTGTTCAATTTTGCATGCCAAAACTCAGGCAGAATGTACACGGCTCTTTTTAAATTCCTTAACAGCTATATTGTAAAACACCTACATTCTTTGCGAATAAATGATTTGATTTGATTGGATTTGTGCATTCCTCTGATTAAATAATGGGGTTCGGGCGAACGACTTGTTGCGGATAATCCTTTCATAACGCTAAAAAACCCATTACCAGTGCAATGGTATCGGCTCTGTGATAACCAACCTGTTAGTGAGGTGAGTCTGGACAAATCTTCGAAGTAATTTCAAGCCAAACATTCTTAAAAAAAACTTTGTCCAGCATTAGGCTGAAAAACTGTTGCAGAAAAAAAGTTTTTTTTTTTTGTATTTGATAACTGTCATTTACTCATTAATATTCACTGTCTGTAATTTAATACGAGAAATAACGCATTTTTACAGAAAATCGCATTTCTCGGGGAAGGCCTATGTTCAGCAGTATATTTGTGAAAGGCTGTAATAATGATGATGAACTGTCAATAGGCAGTAAATATAATAGTATACTTAATAGAATCAGGCGTCACTTTCTTTACAAAAATATAGTACTAAAAATTCTAAGTTTATGGTATTCAAATGAAACTGCAGAATTGTATTTTCAATTTGTTCCGTCGGTTCGAAGCTTTAATTGACTCTCTACTTTACAAATACTGGCAGCAAAAGTTACAATTTAAACTGTTCTGAATGTTTCATTTCAATTCTACGGGTAACAGTCACTGTTACCGAAGCGTCCAACGATTCTCAATAAAAAATCAAAATGCGGGGGAAATTGTTCAATAAATTTTTAGGCCTTTTTAAGAAAGAATAGTGAAGCATTGATGGAATCAAATATACTCACAAACACATATACACATATGTAATTATCTCCATTGAAGCAATTATATAATATACATTTACTACGCTAATTCTAAGTCCTATAATCGCTGTAAGGCCTCCGTTATAAAAATTTGCTAGTGTGTGTAAAATGGAAAAATTACGGTAAATCTGTTTTTTACTCAATTAAGAATATCTAGATATAGGTTTATTCAATTAGAATATTACGAAACATGGACAACTTGATTAATATTCTGTTCACTTCCGTAAAAAGAAATAAAACTTGAAAAACCACTTTTTAATTATGTCTGTCCTCTCCGTGATAAATCCGTGGTATCTCCGTGAGAAATAGAAAAGTTTAGAGTTTGAAATAATGTCACTCTGAACATTATTTTA